ATGTGACCGCCTATTATCAACCCCCGACGAAAGAATTAAAAAATATATAACTTCTGATGTTTGGGTAGACTGAACAAACCTGTAGCCAATTCACGAGGAGAGAGCCTTCCATGAGCACAAGCTGTTAAAGCAGCATCAAGCACAAATGGAGTTGCTTCCAGGATATCCCATGCAGGTACTTTGAGTCTAAGAGCAGCATCTTCAGCTCCAGAGCCAGATGAATTATTACTTCCAGAAGTAGAACCTAAAGATTGACTTCCTTTATTTACCTTCCTGAACATCAAACTTAGGAGTGCATCCGCAATCTGATGAACAGCAGTCCCATGTTTGAGCTCAGAAAGAATGGAAGCAATACATTCTTGATGCTGCCGATACCAACTTTTTAACTTAGGAAAAGAATCCATAAATATGGGGTCGACACTCATAGTCAACACTTTTGACAGTCTCTTACTTCTCAGTCGATCTTTTGGCAAATTACCAAATGATGCTAAGCGAGAGTTCCGCACTAATAGAAGATATTCAGGGCTTATTTCGGTACACAAATGTGGTGTCTCTCCCATTGCATGCTCAAGAGGTGGATGATAAAATCTCCATAACCTCAGAAGAAGTGTAAATGCATTGGAGAAGACTGCATGACAAGAAAGTTCTTCCCCTGTGGGAAGAGTCCACGAGATATTGGGGACACATGACCCAAAAGCCTCACAAATGGGCATCAGTGCACCAGCTAGGAGTGGGATCTGCCATGATTTTTCATATAATGTCAGTTTATTTAAAACAAAAATATTCCATCCACGACTGGATTGCATTTGCTAGATGCTTGTAGATGTACATGCACACAGACACCCACAAACAAGCACATTCAACTAAAAGAGTAAACACATGCCCACATGAAAATATCACAGAGAAGCATGAGAACAAGTGTGCTGCCACACAGACACAAAAGTCAGCAGTAAACATGGGCTGTTCAGTGCAACCTACCAAGCCATGCAAGGAGAATATGTGGACGCAATCTACAGGTGATATTCCAACAAGAAGAATATTAAGAAATGGCGCATAGCCAATTAAAGGGCTTTCATTCCCGGAGTAATCTGCTGGAACGGGAGGCGAAAGTAATCTTACAATGAAAAGGCCGACATGCTCCTGCAAACAACAGAAATAGAGATAAACATAAATAGAGTAATTAAAGCCCAGAAGGAAATGAGAATTTTAGAGGAAGAGTCAGCTTCGAAGGCAAAGAAGATAGTAAAAACATCCTCCAGGCAAACCAAATGGAATCCAATGCGTTACCTGGACACTCCACCCACGAACAAGAGACGCACCACATAGAATAGTAGCAGCAGCCATCTTCTCATCATCTGAACCCCCAACTGCGATTTCATATATTTTTTCGATCTCTGCTAAGCTTCCATCAAATCCAGGAGCTTAAGTTCAGTTGTCTTACCACTGGGTAAATTTACAAAAAAGAGCATCTGATATACCTGGCTTCAGGAAAAAGAAGAGAATAACTGAAGGCCAGGTCTTAGTCAGAAAGATTATGGAATACCATAACTAATTGACAACCATCCTTCTTTTCCCAGACACCCTGCGACCCAACTAGCAACCTCTCCACAAGAGAGAATCAAAACAATCATTGTCTTAAGCATGAATTCACAAAATACGTTACCAAAATGGTGGAGCACAGAAGAAAGCATCCTGTGCATATGGATGCATAACTAAATGACAACAGGAACAACATTAGAACAAAACTATTGCCTTTAACATGCGCCTTTTAATGTTTGTGCATGTTTTAGTAGCACAAAGAAACAATGCAAGAAGATAGACGATGCTTCTTTCATGACCATCCTAAACCACTCTTTCAGCTGGTTTGTAGCATATCATTATTTGGCAAATGATAGAGGACACACAAAGGTTCATTGAACATAACACGAAAGGACTCTTTGGTTCATTGAATGGGCTCTGAGTAAGAGCTCGATAGAATAGCCATTACACATGCGAAAATAGTTCCTTCTTTGGTTAGCCATTAGTACATGTAGTGCACTGGCTACCCCTTGAATTTAAGGAATAGACATTCATCGGTAACGACCTATAAATTGCAACCAAGTGAGTTGAAAATAAAAACACTGATCGGTTTTGCCAATGATTTGTTCAGTATTTTCTTTTTGGATCCTAATCCTTCTGCTGATCCTTTGTCAGATGTAACTGTGAGATGGAAGACACTGAGCATGGTGGGCAGTCAGGTGCGAGGGTGCGGATTTAGGTCTCTCCTAAAACCTACATGAGAATGGAGATAGGGATTAGAGTTGCTTTAGACCATAGTCCTTCCAAGAACCTTCATAGTCCATTCCAAAATTTACATGGTCTGTTAATAGGGGTAGAATTGCTTCTTCCCTGCTTTTTTTTTTTTTTAATTGTCTAC